GGAAATGTAAAATGGTGCAGCCACTCTGGAAAACAGTCATTTCTTAAAAAGTTAACTCCAGTGCAGGACCCCTGACAAGGGACCTCATACCTAGTACAAACACGTGATGCTGCAGCCTGTCCTAGAAATGACTAACCCAGGATATGCTAAATCCCACTATCTGTCCGACCATGCATCCTTCCCTCATTCCTTTGGATAGACGTGAAAATTGCCTTTTCAGAATCTGAGGTGGACTAGCTTGGATCATTGGTACTTCTTTGTTTCCTTTATTCCACTGAAGAGCAGAGCAAGCTGCTCTATTCTTATTCTCCTGCTCTATTCTTATCCATTTTATCTAAGTTCTAGAAAAGCTGGGGCTCTTTAGCAGGCATGGTCCACATTTGTACCTACTGAACAAAACTTGAGGATGTTGATTACTCGGTAGTATATCAGATAATAAGATCTCTTGATGGCAACTTGGATTAGCCAGTGGCCATTTTCCTGTTGTTCAGAGCACCATATGAAATAGAGCCAAACATATCTACTTTTCCGTCTCATCTAATGCACTGGAGAAAACCTGCCTTTGTCTATCTTTGCCACTGGTGATAGGACTCTCTCTGAGTCTGTCTGTGAGGCAAAGTTCTTCTCTGGTTAACAGAATTGCTGGATAAATTTTCAGAAATGCCAATCTGAAAAGAATTGTGTTATAAAAGCCTTACAAAACTACTTGTCTTTTACTGCAGCTGCTAAATCATGATGGGGAGGGGGTAAAGAAAGATGAATTTCAAGGACAATGGCCTTTTATTTTTATTTTCCTTTATATTTTATTTTCTGTGATCTCCTTATTAGACACAGTATGTGTCAGCTATTCAACTCATAAAAAAGCAGAAAAGCATGCCAGGAAAAGAGAAATATTTTCTGTCTCTCTCTTCCTGAGAAAACTTCAGATGAGCTCATCTGTATTCTCGCCTTTCAATGAAAGATATGCTCATCTCTCATCTTCTTCTCATTTTCCAGTGATGATGTCAGGCAGGGCTTACAGTATCTCTTTTGTGATCTTATAAAATCAATGACAACCAAAAACTTTTCCCTTATGGCAATGACCTCATCCATGGTCTACACCTGGACAGGACTCATCTGCATTGGTAAGTAGAGCTCAACTCCACTGAGCCAGACTGAAGCAATTTACCAGGAAACTACTGCTTTCCTTCAAAACCCTGCCTTTGCCATTCAGATTGGAAGGTTCCTGAGCAACCTGGCTGAGTGTTGAATCTGACTAGTTAAGATGGCTCTCCAATCTTTGTGCCCATCTCTGTACACACCAGAAACTCTCCTTTACCTAGAGCCATCTATAGTGGATATAAAATAATCAATACTTCAAAATGTTAGGTATGTGACCTTTTGGGGGCATTCCTATACTCCTTCCTACCTGCTATAACCCACCCATCCATGGTATGCTACTGTCCTCTACATTCTAAGCAGTGAAAGAGGTATCCAATTAAGTCGGTTCAGGACAGAAAGGAATCTTGTGGCCCTGTGTCTACCTGGCTGTGAGCTTCCGTTCTGAACCAGGGAGGTGGACAGGGAGACGCTAGCTGTCTTCATGCTGACACACACTTACAAAGTACCCTCAAGTCTCTGAGACAGACAAATCAGGTAATGGATGAGTTTGGAGGAAAGCAAAAGGATACTGAAGACAGTATTTTACAGGACCAAAGAAGGCAGGCCAAGGAAGCGTTTGTCTAGCATGTCTGAAGTTGAATGGTGTTTACATGTTTAAAGAAAAACTGCGTACAGAGTAGCAACAGACCTAAAAGGAATCTGAGAGGCAGAATTGGCAACACAGTCACTCCAGAGGATGGGGTAACTTGGTGGAAGAGGTTGTGGGCCAAGGTTGTGGACCACTAAGAGTTCATCAGGCCCATGTGAAGTATTCCTTATCTCAAGGTGTCTCCCTTCTAAATCCAGGAAGTTCAGCCCTTTCTAGATGGCTAATCCAAGTTCCTGGGCTGGCATGGAGACATTGAGGGTACGGTGCCCTCCAAAGGGCTTGTGAGCATTCTATTCTCTGAAAAGGAGTCTCCTCTCCTATAAAAATAATTCAGCTTTTATTTTAAGCATTTTTTCACAATAATAATAACTAACAAATATGGAGTGCACAATTATAAGCATTTTCTATTGAGTCTCACAGGAACTGTCCGAATCAAGTACTATTTTTATTACCATTTACAAATGAAGAAGCCAAGTCAAAGAGAGCAAAGAAGTGCTTGAAGTTATACATCCAGGAAGTGACAGAGCCAGGATTCCGATCCAGACCAGGAGGCTGCAGAGCCCTTAGGCTTAACTGTCATGCTTTGCCTGCTCCCTTGAATTACTATGAAGTCTCCCCACCTCTAGTCAACTTAAGCACACTGGCAAGACCAAAGTTCATCCTTCCTTACAAAATCATGGACACACCTCAGTATCTTGAGCCTCAAAAAGGTATTTTTCCCCTTTTTGGTCTGACATCCATATTGAAGTTAAGGCAAAAAGTCTGCAATGTTTTTAGAAGTCCAGAAGCACAGAGATTTACCATGAAGATTAGACTGCATTTGGGCTGAATCAGTTCCTAAATCCATACAGGAAAAATCTCAGTGCGAAGACTTATAATGAAAAATACAGGGAAGCCAAGTTGGACTAATGTTTTACACATTTTAGAATGGCTTTCAGGATGTGTTTCATTTTAGCAAAGCTAGAGAAGGAAAACAAAACATTTACTGATGCCTGGCATGGGGTTAAGTGCTTTTTCACATGCGCAATCTTGTTTAACTCAACATGATCCCATAAGATATTATTAATTTCATTTTTCTAAATGAGAATGAAAACCCAGGGAGGTTATAGACTTCATTCAAGGGAAGCAGCATCATCGGTCAGCAAATTTATAAATGCTCGACCCTTTTAGGGATAAATAATTTCCCCTTAAATTTAGTGTATATATATATGTGGGTGTTTTATACGCCACTACAAAGGACCTTGATGCATACATTTAAAGGAAACTATAACTATCCATTCTAGGTAGTCCTGTATGCCTTGGTTGCCTTGACTAGTCTGTATGCATTATGGAGCACAAAATTCAGGCCTTATTTATTGCTAAATGTCCCATGGTACTTGGTGGAGGGTATGCTAAGAACAGTAGCTAATATGCCACAGGTTTAGATGATCATCCCAGGTAAAGACACAAATCCAATCGCAAGGCAATATATTAAAACGCATTTTGAGCCTTAATTTTTAGTGGGACCACTAGATTCATCAGCAGACCTAAACAAAGCCCAGCACTGAAGTACAAGGACCCAGTCCCCTAGGTCCTAGGTGTGGTGTTTGTGATCTACTTCATCGGTCAGCCCCTTTCCTCCCATTACCCGGTGCGTCATTGGCTGCTCTCTTTTTTCTGGCTTTGAACACTTTGGCAGCCTCCACTAGGTCTTCTTCAAAGAGCTGAAGACAAGTTTGATGTTACAATTGCCTTACTTAATTCCAGACAGGTTTCCATTAATCGTATTAAATTCAGGTGAACAAGGGCATTCAGTCTGTGATGGAGCTGAACCATATCTGGATAAATATAAATAAGAGACTTAATCCTCTAAGAGCCATTGTTTGCCAGCTATTGGAAGGATGTCAGCAGTGCCCTTGTGAAAGGCAGGTTGGAGTGTGGAAGGCAGAAGAGCTTTTAAGAGATTGGTGCTGAGCATCTGGACTCTGTACAAGGAGGGGAATGAAGACTGTAACTGGAATACATTAGGAGGAAAGCAAATGTTCTGCTCAAAAAAATAGGCATTAATAATATCAGTCTTTAATCCACCCCAGGGTGATCTTAGCTTGCCTTATTCACTGCTGACTTTCATCTTCCCTGGAAAGCCTCCTGCTAAAGGTCCCTTTCCAGACCAGCCTTAGGTCATGGGGGCAGAAATGCTGTTGCTAAACAGATATGCAAGGGAGTAGCATGTGTGATTAGAGAACAGTGTGACAACATAATCCCAGCATGGACCGATGAGGTCAGTGTGGGGTGACGTTGGCTTTTCTAGCATTTACTGAATCATCTGACGGGAGCAGCAATTGAAAAGAATAAAGACAAACACATGCAACGTACCGCCAGAAAGACTGCATGGGCCAGATCTGAGAAAGAGGATCCTACTTCGGCAGGATCATTGGGAAAATGGAAGGAACAATGAGCGGAGTCAGGAGGCCTCGGTTCCCTTCTTACCTCCATGACTAGCTGAGTGGTTACATGACCTCAGGTTACGGGACCTGGCCTCTAAGAAATGAGGGCACTGATACAGTTGGTACCTAGGTCTTTTCTCGTTTCGAAGGCAAGGATTTGTGTCCTGTGTTGAGAGGTTTTTTATAAAGTACATGATGACAAGACCACAATCTTGGGAGACACTGTACTTTATACAGCAGTTTTCTTAAATCACCATGTGCAGAATGTTTGTCTAACCTTACGGATAAAGGGAAAGTGTGGGCAGGTGTGTTAGAGCAAGAGGTTGACATAAAACAGAACCAGAAAGAAGAAGACTCCTGCTCCAAACCATGACTGAGGAATTCCAATGACCTGTGGGTCTTCAAGACTTCTTCGCAACACGTGTAACAAGGAGAAATGATAGGATCCCAAATGAGCATTCAAAATCTCAGGTCACAACTCATGTTCCTGAACATGTTACTTACTTGTACACAACTCCTTTGTTCATGTTGCTCTGTCTTCCTGGAATATTGCCCCATCTCTGCTTATCAAAACCCACTCGTTCTGACTCTAAAATCTCCCAGATGAAATGAATGTCTGTGCACACTCTTAGGTTATCATTTATACCATGTATTTCATTCTACCTCTTATTATACTTCATCTCCACTTAATTATAATTATAGGCTATAACCTCTCTGAAGGCAGCTTTGAATTTCTTTTATCTATGTGTTCCTGGACTTGCTTGGCAAATCTTAGGCACCCATGGTGTCACTCCAAATCGAACCACACAGAATTTTCATGTTACCTGCTAACGTGACGGCAATGGAGACAGAGTCATAGCCCAAGGCATTTGTGGCATTGCAAGTGTAGAAACCCACATCAGCTTCCACTGGTGCCAGGATCTGTAAGGAATCATCTGGCTGCAGAAGAATCCTGGAGCAACAGAAAAGAAATAGAGACCTAATCAGGTCAGTTGACTCCTTTCTGGCATTCACTACTGGTAAGGCAGGAAGGAACCCTGTTTTATTTTTATTTTTACATTTAAGGTACCCTCTATCCCCAACATGGGGCTTGAACTCATGACCCTGAGATCAAGACCTGAGCTGAGATTAAGAGTTGGAGCTTAACTGAGCCACCCAGGTGCCCCTGGGACCCTGTTTTTAAAACAGAGACAAACCAGCCACAGTGATACTCAGGAACCCAGGCTCTCTTGCCACTTTGATTGATGGGATTCTGCTAGCAGCCCCAAATGAGGTTTTTGATTGCCTGTGCAGCTTGTTAATTATTTGATCTAAAAATGCCAGTTGGATTAGATAGTATATGTTTGCTGAATACATATAACATCCACATCATGGATGAGAGGAGATGCTGGAATGAATGGTGCAGGTGGATTTGGGAAAGGCTTCTTAAGGAAAAGGAAGGAGGGGTAGAGCTTTGTTGGATGGTGGAAAGTAGGTAGGGTTTCCAGACATGGAGAAAAGCATCTGGAGTAAAGGCCTGGAGTTGTGTGAGAGTAAGCCAAGAGTCAAATATTGAGAAGAGGATACTGATGCACATGTTTGAAGGAAATCCTATGTCTAACTACCTCTCAATTCTAGGTAGTCATACATATATCCATTCATGGGGTATAAAACTTAGATTTATTGTTTCCCATAAAACTTAATAAAGGACTCTTTGTAGAAAAGGTCAGTAAAGGGGTGCCTGGATGACTCAGTGTATTGGGGCCTCTGCCTTCAGTTCAGGTCATGATCCCGGGGTCCTGGGATCGAGCCCTGCATCGGGCTCTCTGCTCAGTGGGGAGCCTGCTTCCTCCTCTCTCTCTCTGCCTGCCTCTCCGCCTACTTGTGATATCTCTCTCTCTGTAAAATAAATAAATAAAATCTTAAAAAAAAAAAGGTCAGTAAAATAAAGGCAAAACCCGCCCTTTAAGACAACGGTAGAAAATTCCAGAGTAATCACCATCTAGTTCCAATATTTTGCTTTCCCTGAAAAGAATTACAAGCATCACATTGTGAGTGCCTAGCAAGAGCTTCAAAACCCACTCCAATCTTAGTCTTCCCTTTGTTCTTTTTTGGATTTATGCCATTTCCAAGAACCACTAGCTACCTCATGGCAGTTAAGCAGATTAGTGACTAATGATGACTTAAACTTATGTCTCAGTGACTTGATGAGGCTGATGAAAACTGGATTGTTTAGGTGGAGGTGGGAATCCAGAAGGACAGGACAGGAAGCTCAGATATCCAGTGCATTGGTCAGCAAACCATCGGTCAGCAAACCATTCGATACTACAGCAATGCCTTACAGGTGGCTTAGAGGCTTCCAGAATCAGTCATTTCCATCTTTGGGATAATTTCTACCTCCCTAGTTTCACAAGGCCAAAGATCTGTTCACCTAATATCATGTCAACATCCACCTGCAGGACATAAGCTGGAAATAGGGGTCATTTTTCAGGAAATGTTGCAGGGGGGAGGGAAAGCATGAAAATGTCAGGACTCATGAGACTTGGTGGTGAAATTCAGATCAGGAGTCAGACCTCCTGCCCCAGCAACATGTTCTTCTCACTATACAATTCTTCCCCTTCCTCACTATCTCTCTTGTTGGGTCCTCTCCAGACTCTATGTTATTGACACTCTGGCACTGACTCTCATCAGCTTTTAGTTATTCTGAGGTGGGCAGCCAATCTGGCAATGGATCATGCTTCCTCAGCTCCATTTTTGGCCTTGAAATGACTGCATTTCTTACTCTTACCTCCTGGCAGAGGGAAGGCAAGAAAGAGGAAAAACAAGGCTTACATGTATCAATCTTCAATCTACTATGCAGTTCTGGTAAAAATGGGGAAGGAAACAGAAAACCTCAGCTAAAGGGAAGTTTCTGGATGGTCTGTGTTTGATTCGGTGCCATTCCACACCATCACCACAATTGCTGAGGAGAGTCAAGTTTTTGGGGGACTGAACTGGCGCTGAAGTTTCGTTAGGGTTGGGAAAGAGGCCATGAGAGACTGTGGTAGAACTCATCCACTCATTCATTCACATATCCATTAAATGCTAAGGGAATTTTCTCAAACAATTACATGTTAGACTATTTCAAAGAAGCTAATAAAAGAAAGATGACAATACTCACTTCTTATCTTTGGTAAACTATATAATAGGTAACAATGTTGATGTGGGAAACAGAGGCAGAAGAAAAGTTATCAAATTTCCTTACCCACTGACAAGCCCTTAAAACAGGCAGAGTGACATTCCTCTAGGGACTCAACTACCCCCACCTTAAAGTTTTGCTATGTCAAAGGGCAATACTAGCCTGACTGACCCCTATCCCCAACCAGGATCCTATAAGTCTACTTTAGCAATTCCTTTGGAAAATTTATCTCTAAACCCTCCAATATAGTGCTGACAATCATTCCCAAGCATATGGTCCACTCTAAAGGGTCTCATGACAAAGGTTTTATTACTAGTAATGAATAACCCTTTTCCTAACAGTAGCTAGCCCCTCAAGGTCCTGGAAACCTTGCTTCCAAAATTCCTGAGAGACTTACTGCCATCCCTGACCCCCTCCCAACTTGCAAGCATATAAGGGACCACTAGTCACAGCCCCAGGGCAGGAGCTCTTTCTTCCCACAGGTCCTGTCCCCATGCTTTAATAAACCACCATTTTGCACCAAAGATGTCTCAAGAATTCTTTCTTGGTCATCGGCTCCGAACCTCACCCCACCGAACCTCACTTATATTCTAAGACTTCATCAATGTCACTATCTTAAAAAAGAATCTTAACAGACACAACTATATTATCATTGCTAAATCTCTTCAGGTATTCAGGCTTAGATTTAAAAAAAATTAAAAATTAACTATGATTTAAATTGTGATGATGTCCCAGAACATGTATGCCTCCATAATGATTTCCAAACAGCAATAATAAAAGCAGGCTTAATCAAATATCAATAGAACTGACTACTCATGATGATTGAGTTTAGTCCATTGTTATTCAGTTTTATTGCACTCAAAAGGCAGGGATTAGAATATGCCAAATTCCCAAGTCCATTGGGATGCCTGCTTCCCTAAAACCTGCACCGTCTCTGTCTTCCCTACAGAAAGGTTTCTTGAATTGAACATTCAGACCAGGAGGCTAGAAGACCAGTCTTCTGAACTTTGATCCTGCTATTGTTTAAGTAGTCACCACTGGCAAATCCCTTCATCTTCTTATATTTCAGCTTATCCACGTCTAAAACCCAGCTGAAGTAGGTTTTCCTACTCAGCAGAGGAAGCTGTGCTGTGAAAATAAAGTATAGCAGGAATTTCCATACCATCTTCTGGCATTTCCAGTGATGCTTTTGTTGGTAATGTTGGACACCCTGAAGGAAAAATTAAATGTGAGGAAGGATGACCGTGGTAAAAATTGTCAGAAAGGAAGAGAGGGGAGTATGTTATTGGCCAATTCTCTGTAGCCCTCTGACAATTTATTAGATCTCGACATTCAGATCATTCCTCTCCTGCCTCATAGAACTACTATATCTGTTTGATCTCAGGTAGGAGGTATAGAACCTGCTCCCAACAGTGGGCCTGAACCACCCATTTTTTAAGGTGGGAGGAATAGCTTTTGTAGCTGCACCACTTACGGATGCTACTGAGTGAGGCATAATGCTTTCTGAGCAGGTCTGAAGCTCAGAAAAGATTCCTACAGAGGTGATGAAGAGAAGGAGGAGAGCCTTCACACCAGGCTAAAAGCCACATGAGGCTGAACTAGGATGGGAATAGTGAGAGTGGAAAGGAACGAACCTAGACCTAGATTTACCATTTGCATGTTCTTTTATTCTATGTAACATATATACAAAGGTAGAGATGATAAAGTATTTGCCTTCATAAAAACAGTCTTAAATATTAAGGGACAAAACCTACATGGGACAAAATCTGAATTTGCATATACTTACAAATGATTTATACTCATCAAACCAAACTCTTCAGCTCAAGGAGGTACAGTGTTATTTGGTTGCAGAGTTGGAATTTGAAATAGAGATTCTTGGTCTAGCACTCTTTTTTTCCAATTTATTATGTCTTTTAGTATGTCCTCAACTTTGGTAGCTGGGGGTTTGGAGGCTGCCACCAGGAGGAGCAGTAGTTCTGAAGAGGGTTCCCATGCAGGGCTCTCTAGGAAACATGACAAGGCAAAAGAAAGGGCTTTGCTGTGAAGCCTGAGGTCAGCTTTAGTCTCTCTATCTAGCTTGCTATCTACGGAGAGAGACTCATGGGGAAAAAAAAGTTTTCTTTGTATTTCAGGCGTCTGCTCTATTAACTTAATTTGTTAGTAGCTGATTTCTGTCAACTTGTATTTCGTTTTCGGATTTGGCAGGCCTGTTTTAGAATGCACACACACAGAACTATAGTGTTGCTTTCCAAGCAAAACCAGAAAGATTTCTCTGGGGTTGTTTTGGAATTTAAAGAATCAGAGAATGAGGGGACATGGAATGGGGCATAATTAAGGACTACATAGAAAATGGTCCTGTGGTCACATTAGGAATATTAATACTAGCTGCTTTTCTCCCATACCCATACCCCACTTCCCCTTTGGTTTACTGAAATAAAACCTATTGCTTTATTTCTTTGCTCATACAGTTAGCTAGAAAATAAAAGAGTTTTGCTTTTCTGATGGCCTTTACTTGAGAGCTTCTTTGGGAGAGCATATCTTCTCCAGCATTCTAGAAAAGAGGGAGCAGCTGAGAGTGCAAATAATTGTTTTAGTTACTTAAGTACAACCCTTGTCCACCTTATGAGTAGGATTCGGAGAAAGTGCCAGGGATCAGTCCTACCAAGTATAAGCTCTTTGAGGTGAAATTGCCTCATCTGCATTTGTAATGTATAGTGAGAAAGTACTCTTAGTTGAAAGGAGGCCGCTCTGGGTGTCTAAAGGAAAGTCTCTAGCAATTCTGTGAGTGGGGTGGCATCAGGATAGCCTCTGAATCCTTGGCTCAACAATGACCATCCCTGTCTTGTGTAGGCCTGTTTCTCAAAGTGACCTCCATGACCAACCACGTGAAGCTGCTGTGGAGAGGAATGTTTCTGACTTCAGTCAAGAGTGACAGAGACATGTGGAGGTCTTGGGTAAGAGTTTCAACTCTGGACCTCTAAGTTCTTTCTGCAAATGGAGGATAATATTGACCTCAGACAGTTCTTATAAGGATCAAACAAAGAAGTATATTGACCCATTCTTACTGTTTTCTAAATAAAAAAAAAACAACAGTTTCAATATAAACTGCAACTAAGAAATTAGTGTTTTTTAAAAATGATGTAAGTGGTGCTCACTTATGTTACCATCTTGGAACTCCTCCTTTTCAAGAGGAAATCTTAAAGCTCTGGACACAGAAATATGCATCTTCTACATGGGTCATGATGTTGTACTGTCTCAGGCCTTCCGACTTGACAAGCATGCATTCTTAAACCTATTTTAGGTCCCAACACAGGACTGGGTGCTGGAAATCATAGGCACATCCCTTCTCTTTAGAATAGTATCTTCCTCTCATCTTTGCAAAATTACCTATCCCAGATCCCAACATTAACTTGTTTATCAAAGTCAAGGTAGCCTCTTTGATTCTCCTTGTCATTAGCTTGGAGATGAATTCATGCTCCTGCTCCTCACATCTATCCTTCCCAATTTTCCCATTCCATTAAGAATGAGTCAAGTTCTACCTCCTGTGTTATCATGGTCCACGAGAATTTCTCCCTTTCCTGATCTTCCAGAGTTGTTCTGAGCTGTACTACAAAATACTTTCAACTCAACAATGTCTCATTTCTTTAGTTAGATTGGAAAATAGTACTGCAAGGGCTGAGACTCTTTTGCTTCTTTCACAGTTCCTTCCTGAGTATCCTGCACAGAGCTGGCATGCTAAAAAGATACTTGTTGAGTTACCTTCAGAGCAGTGGAGCTCAAAATGACCCTGCTAACAATACAGCACAGTGGTTAAAAGCTCAGATGCTGGAGGTAAACTGTCAGGGTCCCAACCCCAGCTTTACCACTCAGTCACTTGGTAGCCCTGGGCAAGTCATTTACCTCAGTGTCACAGTTTCGTTTTCTATAAAATGAGGAGAATTATAGCACCTGCCTAGGATTGTTGTGGGTATTTCACTTAAGCTCACATATTTAAAGAATACAGATGATGGGGTTGGGGGCAGGAGCAAGATAGAGGCAGTGGAAGACACCTAAATATCATCAAGTCCCAGGAGCTCAGCTAGATGGTTATCAAACCATTCTGAACAGCTGTAAACTCAACAGGAGATAGAAGAGAAGAAGAGCAGCAATTATAGGAACAGAAAATCAACCACTTTCTGGAAATGTATATTTTTCTGGGGTCATTACTATCCTTTTAGTATTTTGTTCTCTCATTCATCCATTCTTATCTGGATAAAATGACAAACTCACCACAAA